CGCACCCGGCCCGAGCTCCTGGGGCCCAGCCCAGCGCCAGCTGCCAGCAGCGGCCAAGGCGGGGTGGGGAGGAGAAATAATCAGAGCGGGGCAGAAAGGCTGCGATCTCGGAAATTAAAGTCAAACCTGCAAAGAAACTGCCAGATGCCGGGGTGCGATGCCGGGTCCCCGACCTGCCCCTCCTCTCCCCCGACTTCTCCAGCCCTGGCCCCGGTGCGGCGAGCGGATGCTGCGGCTCGGCTCCTGCGCGCCCGGCCGGCTCAGGAGGGGCGGCGGCGTGGCCCAGCCCGCGGACAGCTCAGCAGCCGCAGCCGCAGCCCGCAGCCCCAGGCGCCGGTTTAAATGCCAGCCGTGCAGGAAGCGGGCTCGCGGAGGAAGTCCCCGAGTACTGGCAAGGCCAGCCGGGCCCGGCGCCGAGAAGCTGAGCAGGGCGCCGCCATGTGTGTGGGCAGGCGCTCCGCGCGGGGGACCGGCGACCGCAGCCTGGGAAGGGAGGGATGCCGAGTCCTGTGGGAACGCTCCGGTATTTCGGTCCGGGCCTCTGGAGGTTTGATTTGGGAACAGCGCCCTCTCAGGGACAGCTGTGAAGACAGAGCTGACCCGCTCCACCCTCTCCTTGCTTTTGAATAGCCTAGCCTTTCCTTTAGTTACCGAGGCCAATGCCTTAGGAAGACAGGTACTCTAGCATCTGGGAACATTTTCCTTGGGGCGTGGAAAGAAGAATCCGATATCAGGTTACACAAAATGACCACAACTGTCAATATCCCAACTTTTTGCTAGATCTAGGGTGAAGTCAAAACCATTCCCATTCATTCGTTCATTCATTTGTCCATTCCTTCCAGTAAAACAAAACAAAACAAGCAAAACTCCCACAGGTGGTGAGTGGGTCTTATGGGGCAGACACAATTATGGTGACTGTGGATACACAGTTAATCACAAAGATGACCACACACAGACTCTCCCTCGCAGGAGCTCCTTTCCGGATGAGCTGTAAGGAGGAGCCATGAGCAGAGGGCCATGGGTGCGCAGGGGGAGGAGGCATTCTTTTTGTCTGTGTGATCTGAGGAAGGCTTCCCAGAAAGCATGACCATGTCCTGGATCCTCAATGATGACTCCTCAGAGAAGCAGAGAAGACATCCCAGACCGTGTACAGGGCTTTGCAAAGGCTTGGGAAGATGGAAGAAGTCAGAGTAAACAGTTTCTATATCTAGAGTATAGGAGGGTGGAAGGGAGTGAGCGAGGCCAGTGCAAAAGGCTTTGCTTGCCAGAGCAGGAATCATATAGGAAATAGGGACCCAATAGTACTGCTTAACTGTTAACATTAACTAAGCGCTCAGAATGTGAAAGGGGCTGGGCTAAGCTCTCATCGAGCATGTTCCATTCACCCTTCACGGCAGCTCTGAGGCAGAACATATTCTTTCCAGGGCTGCACCAAGGACAACAGGGTGGTAAGTGTTGGCCACGTTAGGCAAAAGGGGTGGCATTGTCTGTAGGGAATTTAAACACAATAATAAAACCAACTCAAAGTCAATCTGCTTTATATTAGCACCATTCTAAACCATGCCAGTGATCAACTCCTCCCCACCAAGGTGGATGGCTCCCATACACTGCCTTCCACAGATGAGGACACAGTATGCGAATGGTCCAGGCGGGACTGCTGATGCTGGGAGCAGTCAGGGAGGGGCTGGAGAGGCAAAAGAGGCTGGCGGCCAAAAGAGGCAATAGTTTCCGATTAGGAAACACTATTCAAAAATTTACAAGACAGCGGCAATTAGGATGGGGAAAAGGTGGTATTCAAGAGACTTTTTATGGCATAGAATTGACAGATCCTGGTAAGCAATAAAAAAGAAGAAATGAAGGTAAGGCAGAGTCTGGGATGGTTCTGAATTTTCTACTGTAGGAGACAAGATGGTTGGAGACAGTGGTCTACCAGTCAGAGGAGTCAGGAAGAGGGCAGATTTAGCATTTAAAGATGAGGTGTTCAGTTACTGGATCATAGGGTATTTCTATTTTTAATTTTTTGAGGACCCACCATACTGTTTTCCACAGTGGCTGCTCCAGTTTGCATTCCCACCAACGGTGCTCGAGGGTTCCCTTTTCTCCACATCCTCTCCAACACTTGTTATTTCTTGTCTTTTTGATTCTTGCCATTCTGACAGGTGTAAGGTGGTAGCTCATTGTGGTTTTGATTTGCATTTCTCCGTGACTAGTGATGTTGACTAGTGATGTTGAGCATCTTTTCATGTGACTATACTTCTCATGGTGAGCACTGAGTAATGTGTAGAATTGTTGAATCATTATATTGTACACCTGAAACTACTATAACCCTGTATGTTAATTATACTTCCACAACAAAAGAATAACAATGAAAATAAATGTAGATGATGTGTTCAGTCTGAAACATGTGGTGGTGGAGAGAGGTGTGGGAGCTCCACGTGGAAGAGTATGGTGAAGCTGCAGGGATTTGGGTAGGGATTATCAGAGGTGGGTGCTGGCTAGAATCTCCTCACTTACAGCTCAAATCTCCTGATTCCCTCCTTGAACCCCAGAGCTGATTGCTTCTTTCTGAGCTCTTTGTACCCCTGCTGGAGTAACCACTTGGATTAATATTCACCCTTGGTACTGGGGCACCTGGGTGACTCATTTAAGTGCCCAACTCTTGGTTTCAGCTCAGGTCATGATCTCAGGGTCCTGAGATCGAGCCCCGTGTCGGGCTCTGCACTGGGCATGGAGCCTGCTTGAGATTCTCTCTCTCCCTCTCCCTCTGTCCCCCTCCCCCACCATGCGGAAAAAAAAAAAAAAAATATATATATATATATATATATATATATACATATTTCACCCTTGGTGTTTATGTGCTGGGTGTAGAGATACAAAAGGGAGTGAGAAGATATTACAGTACATAAAACCAATAAAACAGCCTCCAAAATACATAATTAATGCCTGTACATCTATAAGAAAAAGGAAAACATTCCAATAGAAAAACCAATAGAAAAAAATGTCAGAAGACACAAAAATTCCTCTTACAAAAGTGTTGACATGAATGTCCTATAGACATAAGAAAAGATGTTAGACCTCAGTAGTAGTATCTGGAACTTGGGGAGGTCTGGGTCTGTCCAGGGGGAGAGGCCAGCATGGCCAGAGTGTCAAGGAAGAAGTCAGGGGATTCCATTGTGGAAATATTTCAATATTTTAGTAACTAGTACAACCATGGTGTTATGTACCACTGAATGTCAGCCCTGAGTGTCTAATTTGTGGAGTACCTGTTGACACATCTAACTCTAGTTCTCAGTCCTGAAGAGTTCTTTGGAAAGGAACCGAGTAATAGTTCAGCATTCCTACATACTAGCAATAGTTATAAAAAATAATTTTTTTTAAAGATATGGTTTATGAAAAACAACAAAACCCTAGGGAGAAATCTAACAAAAGATGCTCAAGAAAATGATAAAACTTAATGGAAAGACATTAAAGAAGTGCTAAATAAATGGGAGAGTCACACCATGTTTAATTATAGAAAGATTCCAGGTCTCAAAGATGAGAATTTTTTACAACATTATTGCTAGATTCAATAATTGATAGGATTTAAATTAAAATCCGAATAGGGTTTTCCCTGGAAGTCAACAAGGTGATTCTAACAATACTCCAAGAATAACTAAGATATTGAAGAAGAAGGAAGAGGAGAAGGAGGAACTGGGGGAGAAGGAGGAAAAGGAGGAGGGAGAAGGAGAAGACAGTAACACCAATAGAAATAACTAGGTGAAGCGAACTTGCCCTAGGGGACGTCATTACCAAGTTGCAATGGTTAAGATGGCGTGGTTTTGGTGCAGAGATAGAAAAATAGGACAATGACACAGTAAAAGAGCCAGTCAATGTGGAAACTCGATATACAGAAAAATTGCAATAGATATCACATTATCTGCTACAAGGTCAGGAAGAATGTTTTCAACAAAACACCGAAAGCATAAACTGCAAATGAAAAGGTTAATAAATTTGGCATTGGTAAACGTAAGCAGTAGTGCTCAACTGAATAGACAAAGAGAGTGAAAAGATATTTACGATATATACAACCTTATTAGTAGTTAGAGAAGCACCACACCACCATTAGATAACACTTCACACCCACCAACGTGGCCAAAAATAAAACACGTTGGATAATACCGAGTGGTAGCAAGGATGTGGCACGGTGGGTACTTTCACACATTGGGTGATGTGTAGATTGGCACAAACACTTCGGGAAGCCATTTGGCATTATCTGGCAAAGCCAAAAACATGCACGACCTCCACTCTGCAACTCCGATGCTAGGTGTGAGCTAGAGAAACTCCGTACACGCGCCCGGAGAGATCAGGGTCGGAATGTTCGTGGTAGCTCTGTGTGAGGCAGCCAAATATTATAAACAGCTACATTTCCCTGACCAAGAAGGTGGATAAATACATTTTGCCGTGTTCATGTCATAAAATAAATTTCTTACCAAATAATCTTCATATAATAAAATAAATACGATGCAAAAGAGAAAATGAGGGGACTAGAGCAACTGAGGACAAAACAGCGCTGAATAAATAAAGCCAGTGGGGAGCTGTGATGTGTAGCCTCGCGCCACTTCTCTCAATTTTGAGATCTTGCAAAAACCACAGTGCATTGTTAGTGGATGCGTAGGAGCTTCTGAAAAGAGAAGTGAGGGCATATAAAACAATCAGGAAAGCGGTGTCCTCTGGGGATGAGGAAGGGAAATGAAACTGGAGATAGGTTACACCGGGGGCTCCAACTGTATTTACGATTTCTTTTTCTTAAGTTTGAAAACGGATACTTGGCTGTTC